GGGACGCAAACTGGGGATCTTCTAGCTGCGAGGCGACGGCGCTAACCACCGAGCCACCTTGCAGCCCTGGTTAAACGCAAAACTAAACAAAAAAACATCATGTGACTAAAATAATATTTTGTAATATATGACAATTTGTAAAGTGCAGTACCTGTAACCGGTTAGGTTCACATACTCCAGACCATTCAGCGGTTCAAATGCCTGTACAAGCTTTAAAGAGAAAGAGCACAAAATCATTCATAGATGCCTTCTGGGAAACGCTATGTAGTAGAATAGAGTGAGATGTACCTTGTCAGTGCTGGCAGCATCCCAGGTGGTCTGAAGCTCCACTGAGCCATTGATCAGAACTGCATTGATGGCAAAGTTAGTTACAGTTCTTATGTCAACAACAAGTAAATAAATAAAGACTGAGGATGAAAACTAACAACAGGAGTGTATCTGCATCCAGCTAAAGAAACATGTGCAAACACTTTCAGACTGCTGTGAGCCTTGTTCCACTTTGCCTCTAATTTTACCAAATACAATAGTAGAGTGAAGGAGGGACACTTAGGGCCTGTTACCTGTGACCTTGGCGATGCAGAGCGGAGTGAGGTGGGAAACATTTGCTTTGCACGGCGTATCACGACAGCAGTTGTAATTTTCGCATGTTGGGTTGTTCCAAATGTAGCCGGTGGAGCAGTTGCACTCGGAGAAGATGCCAATTATCAGGCACTCTACCAAGAGAAGTTAAACCAGAAACATTCTTTTGAGTATTTATCTCAGTTTTTCTGCTTCATCCGAACTGTTTGGGGGTGATTTCCATGTAGTTTGACTGTCAGTACCCTGGAAACACAACCAGACCATCCCACACCTCACAAATCGCTGTGACTCCAATGTCAAATTCAAACTGATGCATATAAATCCATCACCTTTGAGCTCCTGTGTATATGCAGGACTACATTAATATGCGTAAGCTCAGAGTTGGATCAGTTTACAACACTCAAAGTCCTTTGTATTGGATTTACTATAATTCTACACCTGAAATCTTCACTGTTGGTCTTTTGCTTTACCCTAATGTCCTCACTGCATGTTAAACTCTATTGCATGGGTTATGATTTAAAGCTTTCAAGAAGAACTGTTTGGCATAATAACCCACAAAAGAGGAAAGTGCTCCACAACTGTACCTGCCACCAACTCGGTGCTTGTGAGGGTCACTGTGTGGGGAGCTCCATCAGCATCATTCACTTGGAGGTCGCTTGTTGAACTCAGAATCGACAGGATCGTCTCGGCCTCCACAGTGGTGTTAGTCTCCACCATCAGCTCCGCAATGTAGATATCTTCAGCAGCAACATGGGACACGTTTATGTAAATTATTGTATTTTTGTTAAATCATTTTGGGTTAAAAATCAAGTTAGAGTATACAAAAGCACCTTGGCTGTTGTTAAGGAGACATAAAGTGACTATTAACTAAGCTTACGTTAATTACAGGACATTATCTGATTACCGGATTTCAGCACACTGAAAGTATTTGTTCTACTTTTTATTGTCATCTCCATTTAGACAATCAGAGAGGACTAAACATGCAAATTCATGCTTCAAATTGTGGTATTCAATCAATACACTTAGAGACAGACAAGCAAGCACACTCACATTCACACGTACGGACAATTTAGAATCCCCAATTAACCTCAACATGCTTTTGAACCTTGTGGGAGGAAGCCAGAGAACCCGGAGAGAACATGCAAACTCCACACAGAGAGATCCTGGGTGTCCTCACTGGGATGTGAACTGGCGACTTTCTTGCTGCGAGGCAACGATGCTAAACCACCGAGCCACCTTGCAGCCCCTATTTGCAACAGATTCGGTAAAAAACACTCCTTGACAGATCTATGAACCCACTAGTGACTCATTCTCAAGTATGGAAGCAAATAAAAAGCGCAAAAAAAAAAAAAAAGCAAATAGTTAAACTATATTAAAATAATATGGAGAGCCACCATTTTTTTCCCCAGTTTTGGTAATACCTGCTGGCACTTGGAAAAATGCTGTGCATGATGAATCCAGGTTTTATTTTTTTTATGTAAAATCAATATCACAGAAATTTCACTTTCTTTTCTTCTTCTTGTATTTATTTATGTATTTATTTTTGCAGTTTTCATGGCATTATGGCCACGTCATCCTGCACACAAGATATTTTGAGTTCTCTTCTAGCCATGCTTGTGTTGTTTCCATCGAGGTGCAGGACTTTATGAAATGAAATGAAAAATACTTTATTTATCCCAGAAGGGAAATTCAATTTATATTGCAGTGAGAACTGCCAAGATGGTTCTTGTAGTGCAGAAAGTTCATCTACATATCTTTCCTAAATATTTGACAGCCTTGTGTTCTGTATACTTGTGCAACTAGTTGATGATGCTAACCATGATCCAGTTGTTAACCTACTGGCCAGTTTTGCCAACATTAGTCAGTCATATTATTACAATGTATATTAATGAACTATTCTTCCTTTTCCTAAATGGCTTTTTTTTTTTTTTTTTTAAATCTTTTACACCATTCATTTCCATAAAAAGGTTATTAATTAAGAAAAACACTGCTGTTTGAGCTTAGTTTAGCAACTAATGTGATTATACATTCAAAAGACATTTTTATCCAGCAGCTTCTATCTTGTATGTGTCTGTAAACCACTGCTCACAACTAGCACAATATGGCTCAGAACCAACAACAAGTTAAAATGTTTGTCTCGATTTACTTTCCCCCTCTTAAATGAATCCAGAAATTGCGACAGTTTCAGGAGAACAAATGAATAGAAATGTCTGCAAAAAGAGATCCTTTCATTACACTGCTGCCTGTTTATAAAGATTTTAGTAAAGTGTAAAGGGACTTACTTCCTGCAAGGACCTGCAATGGCAAGAACAGGCACATAACACACAATTAATCTCACTGTGATCTCAATGCAAATCCACCTTAAACCAAATACAGACATTTTGTCGATTAATAAACATGGACTTGCTGTATATTACATTTGTTTTTTGTTTTTTTTGTAGATAGAACTTGTCATATACATGTTACACACTAAACTTTTCATTCTTATAGAATAAAAAAGGCAAAATTAGAAATGTGAACACGACTCTGATGGTTTAAACCTCTATGTAACTGTACGACATTAAAGTGTGCGGGATCTCTACCTGATAGTGGAAGAACACAGCTCCAGCCATAAAAATGAAAACTCTGAAATGCATTGTTACCCTGGTGAGGGGGAAAAACACACACACACACACACAGCGGTTAATGAATACAAAGAGTGACGATACACAATATTCAAATACATTGCGTACAGTCATAAACACTCAAACCCTATAAACTTAAGCAGAATTGTGAGGACTTATTATTTCCTATAAGGTTTGCATATATACAGATGACTGCTCGCTCTTCATTGATTAAACTGGCAGCATTTCAAATGAAGTCCTGCAGTCACCTGATTCAGCACAAAGCTACAAAATACCACATATCTTTGTGATCTGAATATCTTTTGGTCAATCTTTGGCCTAAAACAACTGACAGGGTTAATACAAAATTTGTTAATACAAACCTGTGGTGCATCACAGGCGGAGGTGTAGCGGACAGTGTAACATGTACACATGCTTTTTTTCCGCTTCTAAATATAAAAATAGTACTTGTGCACTTTCTCTCCAAAGATGGGCAGTGGAACAATGAGTCAGCAGCCCTTCTGCTAGGCAAATGTGAAAACAAATGGGCTCTCCTCTTTCCTCAGGAGTAATAAAAGGTTACACATTCAGAGGTTGGAACAGGCAGCACAGAGATTGGACAGGTTGCTATAGACACCAGATATTCTATGAATGTTCTCTTCGGTATTGTTTTGATTCTTCCTTTCTTTCCTGTGCTTCCCACATCCAGGCAAACTTTGCATTTCTTCTAATAGTCAATTTGGGCACTCCATTACATTCCCTTGACCGTTGTCAATTTCTGAGAAGAATATTTGTCTCTTTAGCTGCTAAATGCTTTATTGTGTTCATGAGCTAGTTGGTTACTGTGCCTGTCTGTTGTATAGTTCTTGGATATGGGTTTGTCAGATCTTTTTCACTAAACACTGCCATCTGCTGCTGTCGGAAACAAGGCTGAGGAATGTGGTGAGGCTGAATGATAAGTAAAGGTGTAAAACCAAGATGCTGAACTGAAAGACAGTACGACACGTAGCTGAGCTGTGGACAGCTGCAGAGTCAGGTAATAAGTCTGCAGAACTTGCTGGAAAATCACAGTTATGTGTCTCACTTAATAATTCGGGAAGTTTCTATTTTGCAGAACTGCCTTACAACTTGAGAAAGGAGCAATGATAGCCCTGAGATTTAAAGCAAATGAATATGATGCTCCCAAAGCAGGACAGTGTGGCCCACTACACTACAGAACTTGCTCAGAAGGGCAAAGACACCAAGATGTTGACCTCGTTTTACAATCTGATCCAGTATGTGTGAAATGCACTGAAACAAACTGATCCTCGGAGGGCCAAACCCAAGAAGCTTCAAAATCCAAAAGATCTATAGCCAATAGCCCGATGTAAGACAGACAGCTTGAAGTCCTGTGTCCAAGTCCTGATGATTCAGAACTCATTTTGTGGTTGATAGGTGCATTCTTGTACATTGTCTGGCTACCATAGACTGTATAAAAGACAGACGTAGCTACCGTGACGTCACTCATTGGTTTCTGCACTGAGAAAATGAAGCCAGGGTTTTGCTACTTCCTGGTTGACATCTTGGATTTTTGGAGCCAGTGATGCAAAGATCGTCGGAGGGGGGCGGAGCCATAGGCGCAGCGATTGGTCAGACGGATTGAGAGGCGGGCCCTCTCTGCCCGCCCACATTTTCCATCTTCTGCTCGCTTCATCTGCATCGTCGCTGCTGACTGTCAATCAAGCCAGCCACGCCCCTTGCCCGCAAAATTTTGACAATTTTTAAAAAATTCAGTATTAATTTATTTTCAAATTGGTCACCTGATCTCTGAATTTGACTATGAAAACTAATAAGAAAAAAATCCTGAGCTGTAGGAATGCGGTATTTCGTGATCTGTGATCACTTCTTTTCCAATTCATGTCTATGGGAGCCAGGGCTTTTTGGAGCCAGCAACTAGCGGACGTAGTGATATTGCAGGTTTTTGACACTTCCGGTTTGGCTTCATTTTTCAGGGCCGGTTGTTACGTCCATCTTTTATACAGTCTGTGCTGGCTACGTGTTGGGCTCCTCTGTCAGTCAGAATAATTTGCATCTAATCAGCTCGGAAACATGCAAACTACTTACACACTTAGCTACTTCTGTTGTGATATGCATGGATATACAAGGAACTGTTGACAAATGGAGTGATCTTTACAAAGCCTTTATAATCAAATACAGCTTAAGCAATCTAAACTGGAAGAACACTGCAGTGCAAGTCATCCATGACTGTTCTCACAGTAACTAATTTCAAATAGTCTTCCCATATAATTTGATTTGTTTTAAATGGTCTTCTCGGTCTATGTTTGACTGTGAGTCTTATTTGAAGCTTTCTTATCGGCAGCTGTCTGTTTTACAGTCAGATCTGTAGGAAACTTGTATTTAGATAGCCAAACTTATTTGCATCACTTTGCATTTGAGTTATGAATACAAACGATGAGCTGGTGGTAACAGTGCAGTGTTCACTCCTACAGTTTTTACACAGTATTGTCAAAACCCTGTGGTACATTTCATGGCCACATCATTTTCTTGTTACTTTGTGTGTGTGTTTTTTAAAACAGGTCCAGCAACACAACCATCCTATTCAGCTGCCAACTATCCATCCATCCATCCATTATCTATACACCACTCAATCCTCACTAGGGTCGTGGGGGGATGCAGGAGTCTATCCCAGCTGACTCAGGGTGAAGGCAGGTTCACTTGGACAGGTCGCCAGTCTATCGCAAGGCTAAGCTACCAACTATATTTTTGCTGTTTTAAATCTAAAGACCATGCTTCATTTAGCACAAGGATAGGTACAATCCAGTAGTGCTTTAACTAAAGAGAGAAAATGCCTCTGCAAACTCCTGCCGAACTTTCTTCTAAAGCATTTCTTCAACTAAACAATGAATAAATCACTCGCTCACTTTGATTCTTCAGAACCAGTTGCTTATTCATAAAAAACAAACAAAAACACCTTAATGATATCATAAATAGTGTGCTACCCTTAGAGAGGCACATTTCTGGTTCCCGAAATAGAGATTAAAGTCACAACAATAGCAGGTAAACATACGAAGTCAGGCTGATTTGTAAACATATATATCCATGATTCTATATTAATTACGATTACACTGTTAAAAATAATCTGGAACTTTACACATTTTTACCTCTTACTTTTGGATTTCTGTGGTTTTTTAAAAAAATATAGCAAAATATCAATTTTTTTTTAAGAAAATGGAACTTTTTTCCTCCCAATATAAAATTACTGTTAAAATACATTCACAAACTTAGCATCATTTAACAAATATTTCATTTTCATCTATTAAATTAAACTGCTTAATTTAACACTGTAAATATATTTCAGATTCAAATTAAATACAATTAGTGACAATTGACAGAAAAAAAGCCCCCAAAAGTGTTGTTTTTTTGGGGGGGTGTTAAGGGTAATTTCAGTGTTCACACATGTAAATATCATTCATTCAACATTGAAAATATCATGTGAAAGTGGATTTCAATTGTGGAAAACTACTGTAGTTTTATGTGATGGTAAATTTCCAGCAGCACGTATGCAGAGACACAGCTGAGAGCAGTACAGTCAGATTGTAGAAACATGTCACGTCTGTTCAGATCTAATTCCTTTCAGAAAAAGAAAAAAAAATCATAAAATGTTCTTACCTTGTCATTAGACTTGCGCTGTACAGAAAAAACACGCAGTTAACTTGTTAACTTTGCAGAACGCAAATCAGGCAGTGTCCCATATCTGCCAGAGGCTCTTCAGAACCAGGGTCAAGCTAAATGAGCACATCTGTCTCAAACACTGGGTAAGGCTGGACAGGGTGTGTGTGTTGAGGGATGGGTGGGGGTGTTACGGGATGCAACGATATCGTTGATTTGTGTTGAAACACTATTTGCATTGATGGCCTGACTCCATATTGGCTGGATTGATCAGCATATGTACAGAGCCTTTCAGCTTTCCATGAATATTTGTCTACCAAATCAAGCGTTCTCCTTCAGGAGGTCACACTGTGAGGCAGCTGGCCTGGTGCTGCCTCGTGCTGACGATTACAATGACGAAGCTGACTACGTGCTGGCTCTTTGAACAAATGTTTAGCTGTGATCGCTTTACTTGAGAATTTTACTTCACTGTATTTCAGGAGAAAATTATGCATGTACTTCACAACATTTATCCGCACAACAGTTGAGTTTACTAATGACTCCGAATACCTACAATAAAGCAGAAAAAAGTAAATCATATAAAACACAAAGCAGCACACTCTTTAACAGTATATATAAATGCAGTAATGTGAGCACTAGTACCTCCACTGCAGCCGGCTACACTCTTAGAATTCAACAATGATGTCATCCATTTTGGGTGCAGAAGCTTAATGTTAAAGGTAAAGTCAGCAATTCTGGATAAAGATTGTAGATATCTGAACTCAGCAGCCGGCTAAGCACTCTTTCCCTTTTAGTTTTCCTTTAGAATCTCCCAAAATTAATGGATGGTCATTGTCATAGCAACAATAGCAACAAGTTGGCTGACATTTCAGCCTTGTATGGCCTGGAAGTGGATGTCTCTTTCTGAAAGCTGAAGCAAAACAAACATGCTATGATCTATTTGATAGGGACACACACAGGTAAAAAAAACAGCTATACCCACTTTAGGGACTTGGTGTTTGAGTATCAAACACCATCAATTTGTATTTTTCCTGTATCAGCTTATAGTGGAAATGTCTGTAACTGGAAAACCCAATTGCTGGTGAATCAATATCTACACCATGAGGAAAAAAAGGAACACACCGCGCAAGTCAGTGAAAGGTTATAAGAAAGTATGCGTCAGGGAATGGATCCAAGATAATATCCAAGTCACGTAGAGTACAGCTAAATCCATCAATAAGAAATGGACGCAGTACGGCACACATATAAATCTGGCTAAAGCAGGAAGTCCTCAAAAAGTGTCTCAACGTGCAAGAAAGAGACGAGTGAAGAAGGCCATCAAGACGGCTATGAGTCCTCCAGAGGAACTACAAGCTTCAGCATTTGAGATGTGAGAGACTATGCATACAACAAGTGTTGCTCGGTTTCTTCACTAGTCACAGCTTTCTGGGGAAAGTCACTGTTGAAAAGAGCTCATATGAAACCAGACTACAGTGGGAGACTCTAGAGTCAATTGTAAGAAGCTCCTTTAGTCTGATGAAACCAAAGTAAGCTTTTTTGCCATCAGACACACCACATCACCACTGTGAAGCATGGTGGTGGCAGCATCATGATGTGGAGATGCTTCTTGGTAGCAGGTCTTGGCCTTCATAAAGGTGGAGGGTAAAATGAATGCAGCAGACTAGAGGGGGGAAATCCTGGAGGAAAACCTGACGCAGTCTGCAAGAGAGCTGCAAGTTCAGAGAAAATTTGTTTTAAATCATACCAAAGCTACGCAGAAATGGTTCAAAGACAGCAAGGCGAATGTTCTGGAGGGGCTGAATCAGAGCCCAGACCTCAATCAGATTGAGAATTTGCGGCTGGACTTTAGAAGGGCTGCTCACTCAGGATCTTTGTGTCATCTGACAGAGCTTGGGCAGCTTTACAAAAATATTGGGGTAGAATTATGGTGTCCAGATGCACAACGCTGACTGAGACTTTTCTACACAGGCTCAATGCTGTATATGTGGCCAAAGGTGCATCTACTATATAGTGACTATTTGACAAAGAGTGTATTCAATTAGAATTAGTGACTTGACCTTTAAAGTACATTTTGCTACTGATGCTTTTACTTTGGTATAATTTTAAATGACTTTTACTCAAGTGAGAGATGTAGACACTGATAGTGACTCAGTGACTGTGGGGTTGTTGCAGCAGCAAAGCACAGTAATATGAGAAGAAAATCATAATAATTAAACAATTCAATCCAATTAAATTTTGTTTATGTAGCGTAGTTCACAACATATGTCATCTCACAATGCTTAACATGTGAAGACCTTACAGATTTAAACAGAGAACCCAACAAGTTGCCTTTGGACTCCCTCTGAGCAAGTGGTCAGCCAACACAAAGCACAAAACTAGAACATAAAATTGTTTGCACGACATTAAAGGAGAAATAGAGGTTATCACAACATTCGAAAGAGTAAATGGTAAAGCACTCCAGGCAGGCCACAAAATAAAATTCAAGTGCAAACTCTCCTCTTTGCATTTTCTTGTGACTTCCTTGCTCATTTAAATGTCTGAGCCTGAGTCACGAACCTGTCCAGCCCTAAAGGCAGGTCCACACCTTTGGTATTCACATAGCAGCAAAGATGATGAAATGATCTTTGCAGACTTTGATACGGTGGCCGACGGATGCAAATGACGTGCATATACATGAATGCGTTGCATAAACAGAAACGCGCTGCAAAAAGAAAAGGCTACATATCCACTCACACAACAGAAGTGCCCCAGGCCTTTAGGGGCAGTAGAGAAGAAGAGATCCATGTCCTGGGACACGTAATAATAATCTGTACACAGAGACCCTGTAGGACGGATCTTTTCCGGGTCTCCGGCGAGGCTGCGCCCGGACGCTAACAGGGTTGCCTCAGCAACGAGCGCAAATTTCCCCCAAACACTGCCGGTGTAATAAAAACAAAAAAAATGCCACAATACGATGTACTGTTTTACACTTTACACTCGCTACGATCACAGGGCATCTTCCGGTCGCCGTTTTCCTGCATGTGTCCTTCTGTTCAGACTACACACATGCCCACCAAATTTCATGGGTGTAGGTGAAACGTGCTGTAGATGTTACAAATCTACATGAGAGTGGAAAACACATGCTTTTCTGTTGCCAGCAGGTGGCGCTATGACTGTGAATGGATATTGGTATATGGGTTTCATCAGGGCAGGACTGTGATCAAGTCTGTAAAGTTGTACACAGATTGGAGCATGAACAGGGTCGTTAGACACGCTTCCTTTGTGATGGTGAATCCTCACAATTCAGAAGGCCACCATTGCCACGCCCTCAGACTTTTGCGGAGCATTTTGATAACTTTTGATCACCATGCCCTGATGTATGCGCTGGCCAAATCTGAGGTGTATAGGAGTTAACCCCTAGGAGGAGATAGATTTTGATTTTATGGGTCCAAGAGGCTTTTTTGTGCATCCTGATGTGTTACATATGCCTACCAAATTTTGTAAACATCGGCTAAACGTCCTGCGGAAGCTAATGGATAAATTGCTGCGGGGGGCGCTATAGAGCCATTTTGCCAAACAGGCACAAATTGTCTGTCGTTGAGCCGATAGTGACTCATATGTAAATTTTGGTGAGTTTATGAGCATTCCAAAGCTGCCAAAAAACTTTTTCGTGTCATAGTAACCGTGCGTCGCCATGGCAACACTGTTGCTTGAAAATGCAAAAGCTTCACGCTGTAGCATCGTCAATGTGGGAAGACTTAGCTGACCAATTTTAGGAATGATATAATGATATCACAAAGTCTGGAACAATGGCACATGTAAGTGTAATGCCTCAAACAGCCTGTTACCAATAGGTGGCGCTATGACTGTGAATGGATTTGGGCATATGGATGTGATCAGGACGGCAGTCTGATTAAATATGAAAAGTTTGAGGCAGATTGGAACATCTACAGGGTAGTTACACAGTACTTCCTGTTTCATGGCGAAGGATCAAAAATCAGAGGGTTGCCATGGCCACGCCCTTTGACCTTTGCAGATGACTTTGATAACATTTTACCTTCAAGGCGTATTCTACATGCTATCCACGTTTCAGCGCTCTGTGACTTACCCCCGAGGAGGAGTTAGCTCAGGTTGGACAAACAAACAATCCAAAATGGGGGACTTCCTGTTGGGTTTAGGGTATGGTTGTCACTGACTTTTTTGTTCGTCTTGACCTCCTCCATATACCTACCATAGGTTGAGGTCAAACATGGGACTCCGTTGAAATTTTCTAGGTGGCGCTGTGGAGCCATTTTTCTATTGAGGTGTGTATTTCCCCCTAATTATAAAATTTGTTGCCGGGTCTGATGTGTTTGCCAAATTTTGTGAGTTTTCGAGTATGTTTAGCACCTAAAAAAACGCGTTTCTTTATGACAAAGTAATAATGATGTAGCAGTTCCAACAGGGTCCTATGCACTGTTAGTGCTCTGACCCTAATAACATGAAGTTTCGTGACTATTTCACGAATTGCCATGAGACTGGGTTGGCTTTATGCTCAACTAACGTGATTTGTCTCGCTCATCGTTGTCTGCCTCTCAGGTGAAAAGCTCACTACTGCCCCTAGAGGCCTGGGGCACTTCGGTTGTGTGACTGGATATGCAGCGTTTTGTTTTCTGTTTATGCAATGCATTCATGTATATGCAGCTCGTTTGTGTATGTGCACATCGTTTGCACCCATCAGCCACCGTACTTTGAACTCTGTTACAAGCAAGTGTGCCTGTAAGAAAAGCATGCATATACCCAATGCAGGTATAAAATGGTAACTGCTTGCAATTTGACATCTTGCTAACTTTGACTATTTTTAATCTGAAGTGAAATTCAGAGTGGTAGATTCATGAATTCTGAAATGTTACAAACAGAGACAGCTACTGACATACCTTAAAGCATATCTTTCTTTAGTGTGACAGTTTTCATTGCTGCCATCCAGAAACACAAGATTATGAAAAGTACATTGGATTATATTAGTAAAAGTACTTCACTACGTAATGGTGAAACAGGTGGTTTGTATTGTCTCCCCTGAATTCTATTCTACTTCTACCATTTTTCCAATAAGTTGACTACATTGCCTACAAAAAGTATTCACCCTCCAGGCCTCCTTTTCACAAACACACCATCACCACCGTGAAGCATGGTGGTGGCAGCATCATGATGTGGGAATGCTTCTTAGCAGCAGGTCCTGGAAGGCTTGTGAAGGTAGAGGGTAAAATAAAAGCAGTAATGTACAGTGAAATCCTGGAGGACCACCTAATGCAGTCTGCAAGAGAACTGCAACTTGGGAGTAGATTTGTTTTCCAGCAAGACAATGACCTGAAACATAGAGTCCAAAGCGACACAGAAATGGTTTAAAGACAACAAGGTGAATGTTCTGAGACCTATCCACATAGGCTCAGTGCTGTATATGTGGCCAGGCTGCTTGCATTTAGTAAATAATGACTTGAAGGGGGTGAATACTTGTGAAATCACGTATTTCAGCTTTTCCATTTTTAACTAATAAACAATACTTTGTAGAAATATGTTTAGGATGTTTTCCCTTTGACATCAAAGAGATTTTTTTTTTTGGGTGAATTCTTGTCTAGAATGCGAAGTGATATTGACTATGATTCAATGCTAAAAAGCAATAAAAGAGAAAAACTTGAAGTACGTCATGTTGACACTGTACCTGAACCCAAGGTCATCACTTCAACGCATTGCATCTTATTTGTTTGATCTACATACGGCTCAAAAACAACTTGAGGAACATGGCAAGGATCTCCAGGCATTGACTCGGCCTCCAAACTCTCCAGTTTCTAATCAGATTGAGCATTTGTGGGATACACATACAGAGGTGACACACTTTAGCCGATGGGTTTAATGTTGCTTCTGATCAGTGTGGCGACATACAGTCTGTGATTGTAAGCACTTTTGATATGTTTTCATGAATCTATCATCACATGCTTTTGCTCTTAATTTATATTAATTTCCTTTCGCTTTGCAGCAGGAACACCTTACAAGAAACCCTCAAACTTGCAACTCTGACTCCTTTCACCACCTTCAAGCTTAAAATCCAACAGATCGTAGTCGACTGTTGCTTCTGCTGATCACACCGGACTTTACTTACATACTTATATATATACACACACACACACACTTTCTTACACCTCATGCACATTGTTTTTCACTCACATGCATATGCTCTCATGCTTCTTACTTGTTTACTTTTATGTTATGTTTATGTTGGTGTCTGTAATTTAGATGTGTATTTGTTTCTGCCGGAGCCTCTTGAGCCAGGTCATGTTAGCAAATGAGAACTGGTTGAATAAAAAAGGTTAAATGAAAAAAATAAAAATAAAAATAATACACATGTAAATGTAAACATAAACATTCATTCACATCCTCAAAGAGCTATATAGTTAAAGTGTTTAAAGCCGTAGTGCAGCTGTGATGGAAACCAGCAACAATTCCAGATGTCACAGCTACATGCAATTCCTCAGTTAAATTAATTATGTTGTAAGCATCAAGATGACCTTTGTCAGCATTTTTAGCTTATTTTTTAATTTAAATAAGCTGTAGTTTATCTCAAACATGTAGTTTGTAGAACTAAAACTTCTTTCACAGTTTCACAAATTCAAGACAGGGTGTAAAAAAACAAAAGAACACATTTGGTGTATCCAGAGGTACCTGGAAGGAATGATTATGACGAGTGTTCCAGCTGATGATTCTTGAGACTTTGTGCAAGTCCTGTTTTACATACGTGCTCTGAAGGCCGGTGATCTTATTTGCAGGTTTCTCTGTGCTGCTTTGTTTTTCCAAGACAAAAAAAATACATAACTTTGAATGACAAAAGATACAGAATCCATCCATCCATTATCTAAACACCACTTAATCCTCACTAGGGTCATGGGGGGCTGGAGCCTATCCCAGCTGACTTAGGGTGAAGGCAGGGGACAACCTGGACAGGTCACCAGTCTATCACAGGGCTACACTTAGAGACAGACAACCAAGCACACTCACATTCACACCTACGGACAATTTAGAATCACCAATTAACCTCAGCATGTTTCTGGACTGTGGGAGGACGCCGGAGAACCTGGAAAGAACCCATGCTGCACGGGGAGAACATGGAGACTCCATGTAGAAAGATCCCGGTGCCCCCACCGACCTTACTGCTGCGAGGCAACAGTGCTTTTTAAATAATTGTGTATCATTGAATATTTATATTCAATAAGGCAGAAAAATGTTGAAATATGGGAAATGAAGAGGAATAACTGAGGCAGAAGTGGCTTTTTTCTTGCTCCTTAGCATGTGAAATCACCAGCAGATGCTACATATTAATAAATAAAATCAATTCCTGATTCTCCCTTTGCCACTCAGAACTATATTTGACTGACAGAACCGTTCGGGTCAATTTATCATTGTGATGCCACCCCTTCAGTAAACAAGTCCAGTGATCTGTGTCAGACAGCCTTGCTCTCTCGAACTGATTTGATTAGCAAAGCAAACCAAAAGAAGAGCCAGTTTGCATGTACTTTGTGGACATTTGGTTGATTTCAAATTGCACAATGATTACACACCATTATATGTATTTGCCTTGATTGAAATGAAGTGGAATCTCCCGGTATACCTTATCACAGCCTGTGCAAAGTATAAAAATCTATTCAATGTTACAGCAGATACAGAATCTATCTCTCTATGAGCTCCTCTTGGGAAACACATACATCCCTTTTCATTGGAAACAACTACGATCTGATAGCGAGTGGTTACAAATAGTTGCTACGTGTAGAGACAGACATGTTCTTATCTAATAAATGATAAACAAAAAAGTCCTCTAAACAGACAAACAAACATAACTATTACTACAATACATCTAATAAACCTTTACATTAAATACACACCAAACCCAACTGTGATCTAATTGAAAATGGCTACAACAAATACCAAAACATTTTGCTGGTGTGTATTACACAGCACACCATTACTTTACATGAAACCTTCAGAAAATGACTCAACTGATGCTTTGTTCATTTTCTCAAAAGAGCAAACATGACTCTTCTTGGATGTAATATTATGCTTTGGATATTAATGCAACTTTTGTACCTTTCCCTTGTTTTCCTTCCTAAAAAACAAAAAAAGTAAAAAGAAACAAACAAAAAAGAGCTGATTTAACTAGAGCTGTCCAGATTATCAGGTGCTGCCGAAAGAGCGTGTTTCATTGGATGCACCAGATGATATGTTGTAGACGCCTGAAAAACCAGTGACAGAACAACGTGATTCAGTTAGCGGCAAAACAAAACAACAGCAGGTACAGTGGTAAAACAAGAGGCTGGAGATCGGCAGAGCTGATGATGTTTAACAGCTGTCTTTATTTTCTAACCATTTAGTTGTAGACTATTGTAGTTGATACAGTGGAAGCTTGAGCTGATGAAAAGTAAGAGAATCGTCAGAGTTAGTGGACTTTCTTTCTTGAAAAACCACAAATGTCTGTGCCAAATTTTGTGGCAACCATTGTCGTGAATTTTTTAAGATTGTCACTAAGTCAGTTATGACAAGGATTCATCTTGGGGGAAGTGTAAGCATCAACATTTTAGGGCAATCCATCCATGAATTGTTTTCAGTCTGTAGCAAAGTATTGGATAACCTGACCAACTCCTATGCAAGTCTCCAGTACACCTCATAAAAAATATAAACTCGTACTTCCATACCTTTTCTTCGTTTCCATTTCCGAAAAAATCCAAGTCTGCTTGATAATGTTCCAGCACTGGTGCTCTGAAACAAGTGAAAAAACAAAAATATGAACCACCTCAGTATTTGACAAGCTGCTACCAAAGAATGACATGAATGTGAAAACTCTTCTTACCCTTGTCCCACTTCTTGAAGTTTGTGACTTCATTGCTATTTCTGACCGCACCTGAAAGGTTGATGCTCAAATATTAGTGCACGCCTACAACACCTTAACAAGTATGTTTCTAAGATACAGCAGTATTCAAAGGTAGGAAGTGTTAGCATTACAGCAGGTTTCAAATAGGGCTGAACAAATAATCAAAATATTATTGAAACTGCAATGTGGCTAAGTGCAATATTTCAATCGCAGCGGCTGGAATGTGTACACATACTTCTGATTATATAATGTGTAGAAGAACGTGCAAGTCTACTGTTTTGAGTTTGAGTCAGCAGCTGTGTGGGTGCACGGAAAACCCACAAACTGGGTGAAGAATCCTTAATAAAAATAGAAATGGGAGAATTCCATCAAGCTAAAGAAGGTGTCGTGTTTTACATGTACCTCTTCTCCCCCTAAAAAGCCAATAATCTGCTTTATAATAGTCGAGTCAGGAAGCATCCTGCCAATTGTGTTGTTGTTGACGCAAAAATGTGTTGTAAAACTGTGTGCATTCATAGTCCAAGTATAATCTGTGGGAAAATGCTTTCACTGCTTTATTTTAGAAGAAAACAAAAACCTTTTCAGCAGCTTGTATCAAATTTGACCACCCCATGTTATTCCACGTCCACCTCTGCTTCATTGTCGGGTCCATGCACTAAATGTGCTCATAGTGGCCAGGTTAAAGCCAAACATGTTGGAACCATTTGAAGCTCCCAATGTGGATCACGTTTATTCAAGCTGAGTAAAATTTTGAAAATTGAGACATACGTACCTTTTTGTCCAAAAGTGTTCCAAACACCAATATAAAGAAACCCTTTTAAAAGAGACACAGAGTAAAGTCAGCTACAAGGAATTAAGTGACAAAAGGCAAGTTTACCATGCACTAAAATCAAATGTTAGTGAGTAGTATAGTGTAATATACATATCATATTAGAAGCTAATAAATTTGTACCTGCAGTGAATTGAAGAATGCGAATGAATAATGGATTGCAGTGTTGAATGGGTCAACCATGAGTCCCACTCCCAGACTCCAAGTTAATCCAAAAAATGGTGTGAGCACAGCCAAACTCCTGGCAATAACCACGAGAACATGTCTCTCACCAGCTTGTGCTGCGTCTCCCCCGACCCTTCTCCTCAACATTTTGTATATCACCACAAGCAGGATCACAAAGTTTATTGCCACTATTAGCAGTGCTGGGATCACAAATGCCAGCAGAGCCTTGGATGCTTGCCAGTTGAGCCAGCAGACCCCAGTTTCTTGAATGTATGCTTCTTGGGGTGCAGTTACAGCTATGGTTATGGTTGCAATGATGAGAGGTGCCCCATAGCCTAAACAGAATCCAATAGCCAACATGGATGTTTTAGACAAACCTCCATCAAATACACTGACTGCACGGTAGAGCAACAGCAAGGCTGATGCTAGCATCCAGAAGAACAGGGCTAGGTAGAAAAAATGGATAAAAAAGGTAGCTGCAGAGCATGCTGGTGGGTTTTCTTCCTTTGTGTCAGAAATGGCTGCCCCAATGATAAACCAAATGTTTGCAATCAGTAGGGACACTGCGATGTTAACGATGGAAACATGTCGCAAGTAAGATGTGTTGTTCTTTCGGATTTTTCTCCAAATGACCGCTTCAATGATGAGACATATGACCAAGGACGCCATGGATATTCCAACTCCAATGTAGCTTACATAGGCCAATCCAGGGACATCATCTGGACTGTAGGGCGACATAAGGATGGAGAATGAGGTAAGGTGGTTGCAGTTGCAGGTGACGGTTTCGGTGTCATCAGATACCAAAGTGCAGCCTTCACCGTCCCACCCTCCAAGACCATCGAAGAGGCTGAAGTTCCAGAAAACACATTGTGGATTTCCCAGACTATTGTTTGTAATATCAAACGTGAAAGAAATATTACTGATGCTGCTATTGGACTGAACAAGTACAACTCTGCCATTGATAACGTTAACAGATGAATTGGCTTCATCTCTTGCAGGAAGTACGTTATCCATTGATTCAAACGTTAACACAGTGATTGACTGATTTCCTCCATCAGGCTCTGTTATGTTTATCTCCACTGAAGAATCAAAGTCAGCATTGAAAGTGTTTTCGAATGTGGTTTTGTTCAACAGAATAGAAGGTGTCTCAATGTTGAACGTGCCACTGGTAAGTCGTGTTGTTATAGTCTCAAGAGACTGCAGTAATGATGAGCTGACACTTTCAGCTGAGGTGTTGGTACTTCTCGTTGCTGGGCTGTTTCTGGTGTCATTGGTGTTTATAAAGTCCCATGATTCCTTTGCCTCGTCTGTAGTAAGAACACCTGCAGTCAGCAGGACATCCTAAATGCCAAGAAAGGAAAATATTAGATCATGTACTCTATATTTTCAGCAACATGCTCATTAGAACTTGTAAACCTTAGCAATCTGATTGACTTACCTCCATTGAAGTTGTGTTTATTGACGCATCCAATGATAACAATGTGTTGGCTACATTGTTGAATATGTCAGAAATTGCCCTGATGGTGGCAGGAGATTCAACAACTTCCACAGTGAAGTTGACAGTGACGTTGCCGAGTCTCTCCAAGAAACCTGGCAGGCTATTGATATTCAAATTCTGAGATTTAAAAGACAAAGGGATGTACATTACACAGTGTGTTGAAAACATAGACTGTATACCAGAGATGGGCATAGCCACTGTGATGTCATCCATTGGTTTGTGAGCATTTTGAAATGTTGAGATTGACATTTGGCCATCATGATCTCGCTCTTTTAGAACTGGACGTAGCAAGTGGGGTGTGTAAAGTGAAGTTTTATGAATGAAAATTTGAGGACACTAGGGGGTCTGTTTGCATCTAAATGGACCACAACTTATGAAACACACATAGTTCTGTATTCAGAAATGTTTGAAACTAGCGATTGAGACTATAAATTCCTTCTCGAGGATGTCTGTATAATCAGATATACAAAGATCCTTCCACATTGGATTCACTTTTTATCCATCTGTTTTTTAAGATCAGATTTTTGTTGCACAGTGCAGCAGTGTGTAGGGTTTCACATCATCTTTGAAATTATCCTGATAGTTAGTTTGTGTAAAAATTAAACAATCCCTGTGAAATTATTTTGCTGCCACAGGGGGTTTGAACCTACAATATTGTAAGGAAGCACATTATGGTTAGCAACCATGGCTAACTATTTAGTGCTCAGTCAGGACTAGATGAGGGGTATCCAATCCTGGTCCTCGAGGGCCACAGTCCTGCATGTTTTAGATGTTTCTCTCTTCCAACACACACATTCAAATGATCAGGATCATTATCAGGCTTCTACAGAGTTTGATGATGAGCTGATTATTTGACCAGGACCAGGATTGGACACCCCTACACTAGATAATCCAATCGATACTCAAAACATCCAAATTTTCTGTACAGCACTGTCAGCAAAAGACCACAGTTCTTGTACGACCGACCCACAGCTACATCGTGAATAAGAGAGAGTCAAAATAATCTAAAACAGCAAGAGAAGCAGATCACCTCAGACTCGGATTGCAGCTGCTGAATGGGTCGGAGGACGCAGTTGTCTTGTCGATCTTCGAATTCACCATTTGCCTTACAAACTGCTGTCTTTTCTCCCACCTTGTCGTCTTCGCACTCTGCTACAGCCCTGAAGCCTATAATTCCATCACCAAATTCTGGATCCGAGCATACAAATTCTAGAGAGACAGAAGACGGTTTTGATCTCAGCATGTAATTATACCGAACATGTCTCATCCTGATTGTTTGAAACGCTCTGTAAAGTTTGGATCAGTACTCACCATCTCCAGATAACTCCAGTACAATTTCTTTTTTAAATACTGGACTGGTTTTTGTTTGACAAGTAAAATTCCTTTCCAGGTTTGTACAGCTGGCAGGGACTGAAAATGGAACTGTGATGTTCACACCTGCAACTGGACAGCAACAACAACAAAAGTTAACTTAGAGATCAGAATCAGAAATACTTCATTTGTCCTCGAGGGTAAATTCTTTTTTTTATTACACGCACATTTCCTGCCCAAGAATAAAGATAGAAATATAATAAGAGTAAAATTTAAAAAATGAAGAGTAAAAAGATACATAAAAGATTGTAGATTTTATACTTTGGCAATTTGTTACTGTATCCATTGTTGTTGCTGTTAATATTATTATTATTACTATTGTTGTTGTTACTATAGTTGCTGAGGTTGTGTTGGTGTTGTTGTTGCTGGTGGAGCAATTTCCCTGAAGTTTCCACCAATGGGATCAATAAAGTTCTATTCTATTCTGTTTCTATAGAGAAATAAATATAGTAAATAAGTACAAAAAATGTCAACCTCTATAAAGACATATTTACACATGTGTACAGTTATGTTGCAGATTGTATGAAGATGAGTACAGTATAAACATCCACAAGTTAAAAATAATCAACATTTTCACAAACAGCTGTGTGAAAACTGCCTTAAAATGATTTTTGAACAGCTGGTTTGTCTTTTGGTGCTGGTTTACCTGCAGTTTCAAAGCCCAGCAACTCCACCTCGTAGGGACTGTTGACAGAGCACTGCAGTGTCACATTGTCACCCCCACACCGCACGTTTTTTCTGACCGGTTTCACTCGGATCACGGGTGTATCTTTCAAACTGAAGGCTTCACTGGATTTCTGTCGAAAAACTGTGTTGTCTGCCCGTTTCAGCTGACAGTCATAGAGTCCTGAAATCAAATGTGATCATCAGTTAACAGTCAAATAAACACCACACAAAATTTGCATTTACGTACTGTAGCTACAATGGGAGAAACATTCTTGTCCACTTTCCTGCTAGTTTAACGGCTTTCAGTGGTAAAGACATGAACTTAGCCGTCACAACCTTGAAAGTACAACAACATCTCCTATTTTTGCTTTTGTTTGTCAGAACAGATGGATAAGTTTCTTCCATTCAGCCAGTAAACTGCTTAATTTAAAACCCCAAAGAAGCAGTAATGTCAGCGTTTGAAGAGGACTCTAACAGCCTGAAAGACATGAGACATTGCACAACCATCCACGTTTGCTTTTCTGCTAAAGTCTTAAGTTACACACCTAAATCTTCTCCTCCACCGTAGTTTTCTGATCAAGTCACAAAAACAAACACTGACAGCTGCTGACATACATTTGCAAGCTAGATAAGCAATTACCAATCTACAGTGCCTATAAAAAGTATTCCACTATTTCTGTGCAGCTTTGGCTGTCTGCTTTAGGTCATTGTCCTGTTGAAAAATAAATCTTTCAAGTCAGAGTTCTCTTGAAGACCGGATCAGGTTGTACTTGACTTCATTTATTATATCCTCTACCTTTATAAACCTTTCAGGGCCTGCTGCTGAGTAGCATCACTGCATCATGATGCTGCCACTACCATGCTTCACAGTGGGAATGGTGTGTTTGTCATGATGTGCAGTGTTTGGTATCCGTCAAACATAACATCTAGTCTGACAGCCAAAAAGCTCAATTTGGTCTCATCATACCAAAGATCCTTTTTTTAGTTAACTTCAGAGTCTACCACATGCTGTCTGGTGAACTCTTGTCAAAACTTATTATGAGCTTTTTCAGCCATGGCTTTCTCTTTGCCACACTCCCATGAAGCTATAACTGGCAAGGAACTCCAGCAACAGTTGAAGTGTGTACAGTCATTTGTTTCTCAACCATGAAGCTTGTAACTCCTTTAGAGGATCCACAGGTGTCTGGGTGGCTTCCCTCAGTAGTCTCTTTTTATCGATCTATCAGGGTTGTCTTTGAACTGTAAGACAAATACTGTCCTCAAGCCAATCAGAGCTGTGCGTTTGCACATTTAGTGATCTACTGACTACACCTCACTTACTGTATTTCTTACCATTATCAGTGCTAAAAAATCTGGACACAGTTAATGCTGCTGCTCCATTCTGAATTAAAAAGCTGTGCTCTGTGTCTGCACTTATGAGCTCGTTGTTATGTCTCCACTCTGCAGTCCAGTTGGTACCAAAATTGAGATGTCCTGGTGGAGGGCCGCATGTCACAGTCACACTCCGACCAAAAAATACTTCAGTTGGATTAAACTGTAAGAGTGTCTCACCTTTAAAGATAAAATGGACACAAAGGTCAGACAGCTAGTAAACATTCTGCTTTCCAGAAACTTTGGACATCCATCCGTTGTCTATACACCGCTTAATCCTCAGTAGGGCCGCGGGGGGCTGGAGCCTAATTTCGGACATGACAAACATAACAAATGTGATAATAAGAAAATTTAAAAAAATCACAAGTGTATAAGACTGCCTTACTGTCATATATCATTGAGTATTTTTGTGCCAGATTTGTAAATAATCCAACTTTTAGTGCTTCAGTTTGTGTCTCTGGAAAAGAAGTGGCAATGACAGTATAGGTAGCGATAGTGCTTCCATTCCTGCAAGACAGAATTAAATCCAAATGAAAATCCAACCACCAGCTGGTGCAATGTTGTTCCCTTAGTATATCTGTTCTGGAAAATTGACATAAACCACTATTCAGTGTCTACAGACAGGGTCTTTAACACTCTACCCCCACACATAGTCAAAACTTTTTTAGGTTTTGCATAGAATTTTATTTTAAAATTTGGTATCCTTTAACAGTTGCTAGGATATTTCAGTCTTGACTGAAGTGATGGACGGACTGAATTTCCTGAACAGCTAAAAATAAGGTGAAAAAAATAAAATAAAAAAATCATTTTACTGTAAAAACTTTAAAGCTTAGTAAAATATGCTGGAGTGTCTTCATTCTTTGATATAAATATATTATATTGAAAATTTTTAAAAAGTAATGTAAAAGGAATAAAATTTGATTTACCTGAAACCAATTAATTGTGCTGAAACTGGAGCTGGGAAGTGTGTCCTAACTTGGTTTTGAATCTGTTTGAGACAGTGACATAGACACAAGAAGAT